CTTTCCTTGTAAGCTTGGTGGGGCTGAGGCCAGAGAAACACTTCTGGATAGGTCTCTCAAACCTGAAAAACAGAGAATATTTTATGTGGACCAACAATGCCTATGCGAGATATACTCACTGGAACACTCATATGCCAGGTAATGAAACAATCTCATGATCTATATGTAAACTATAGTTGGCAGGTCTCTTCACAAATGACAGCTAACATTTTCTTTTATAACACAAGGTCATGTGCAGGGTTGTGTTGCTATGGCAACTGGGCATTCTGCTGGCCTTTGGGATGTGTTGCCTTGTACCAATAAGGAAAAATACATCTGCAAACACCTGGCAGAGGGGGCAGCTTTAACCCCAGCTCCACCAACCACTGCCACGCCTAACTGCACAGATGGATGGATTAAGATGCAATCCAGAATCGTCTGTTATAAGGTGCAGCATGTCTCTCTCTCCCTCCCTATGTGTGTGTGTGTGTGTGTGTATATATATATTACACACAACTCAGTTTCTTATATTTTGTTTATAGATCTTTCCAGAGGCTTCAGAAAAGAGAAAGACCTGGTACGAGGCTAGAGATTACTGCAGAGCCATTGGAGGAGACTTAGTCAGCATTCACAGCAGTGCTGATTTACTAGGGACATACAATTACGTCTTACAACGTAATTACATCTACAATGATTGGTATAGTGTTTTCTGGTCTACATAAGATGAAAATATTTTGTAAAGATTTTTATCATTACAAAAAAATTAAAAATACAGTATTTTTTTATATATACAATGTAATTAATTACTGATGTAGAAGCCACCCCCATTTCATCCTCAATGATTGTTCAATGATGGTCATATTTTTGCAGACTAGTGCACCATTCCTCCAGAGAGTGCTAAATCAAGTATTAAACTTTGGAACATACATTTGTCCATTTTAGGCATAATCAATACTGGATTGGACTTAGTGCTCCTGACCCAGACACAGGTTATGTATGGAGTGATATATCCCCGGTGAGTTTAGTTTTTAACTCTCTACAATGGTTTATGTAGCCTAAATGATGATAATGATCAAGATGATGATTATTAACATTAATAATGTTAGAGCTACTGTTACAACTGATACAAATACTACTACTGTTAATAATTATCATGTTTTTGTATAAAGGTAAACTTCCAAAACTGGAAAGATGGAGAACCAAACAATAAAAATAACGCTGAATTGTGTGTTGAAGTAGAACACGTGTATGGGGATAAAATTTTGCTTTGGAGTGATGTGCCCTGTGAGAAGTACAATAACTGGATTTGTCAGATCCACGCAGGTAAAGCATGGTCACAGTTATAAAATTCTTTTGCAACATATTTTTGAACTAGACATTTATTGTTGTCGGCCTCATGTATTCTCACAATGTCAAGGTGGAGGTGGTCACTAGTAACTCAACACTATTTTGTTTTTATACCTTTACAGGAGTCACCCCAAAGCCGGCTCCAGACCCTGTCACCCCTGGTATGTTGAGGAATTTGACCACATTGCG